CTTCTCTGGGCAACCTGTTCCAGTGCCTCACCACCCTCACAGTAAAGAATTTTTTCCTAATACCTAATCTAAGTCTACCTTCTTTCAGCTCAAGGCCATTACCCCTTGTCCTACCACTATATGCCCTTGTAAACAGTCTCTCTCCAGATTTCTTGTAGGCCCTTTAGGTACTAGAAGGCTACTATAACGTCTCCCCAGAGCCTTCTCTTCTCCAGGCTGAACAAGCCCAACTCTCTCAGCCTGTCTTCATAGGAGAGGTACTCCAGTCCCCTGATCCTCTTCATGGCCCTCATCTGGACTCGCTCCAGCAGGCCAATGTCTGTCTTTTGCTGGGGACCCCAGAGCTGGACACAGTCTTCCAGGTGGGGTCTCATGAGAGCAGAGTAGAGAGGGAGAATCCCCTCCCTCAACCTGCTGGTCACACTTCTCTTGATGTGGCCCAGGATACGGTCGACTTTCTGGGCTGCAAGCACACATTGCCAGGTCATGTTGAGCTTCTCTTCCATTAACACCCACAAGTCCTTCTCCTCAGGGCTGCTCTCAGTCCAATTTCTTGTAGTGAGGTAACTGAAAATGAATACAGTATTCGAGGTACAGCCTCACCAGTGCCGAGTACAGGGGGGACGATCACTTCCCTAGTCCTGCTGGCCACACTATTTCTGATCCTAGCCAGATTGCTGTTGGCCTTCTTGGCCACCTAGGCACACTGCTGGCTCACACTCAGCTGGCTATTGACCAACACCCCCAGGTCCTTTTCTGCCAGGCAGCTTTCCAGCCACTCTTCCCCAAGCCTGTAGCGTTGCATGGGGTTGCTGTGACCCAAGTGCAGGACCCGGCACTGAGCCTTGTTGAACCTCACACAGTTGGTCTTGGCCCATTGATCTGGTCTGTCCAGATCCCTATGTAGAGCCTTCCTACCCTAAAGCAGATCAACACTCCCCACCAACTTGGTGTCATCTGCAAACTTACTGAGGGTGCACTCAATCCCCTTGTCCAGATCACTCATAAAAATCAATGGCCCCAGTACTGAGCCCTGGGGAACACCACTTGTGACCATCCACCAGCTGGATTTAACTCTATTCACCACAACTCTTTGGGCCCAACCATCCAGCCAGTTTTTTACCCAGCGAAGGGTAAGCCATCCAAGCCCTGAGCAGCCAGTTTCTCCAGGAGAATGCTGTGAGAAACGGTGTCAAAGGCTTTACTAAAGTCCACGTAAACAATATCCACAGCCTTTCCCTCAGCCACTTCTCTTTCTGACTGTTTCATTTCCTATTTATACTGGTCAAGTGATTGCAAAGCACTATATTATCATAGCTAATTTATTTGTTTTTCTGCAATAGACTATGTATTTATTGCCTGTGGTAGGTACGTGAAAAAGCACTTGATAGGAGGTAAATGCAATGGCCTGGTTTTATTTTTAAAATTTCAAGGGTTTGGGGACTTTTTGGGTGGGCAGATCATATCCATACTGAGGGGTAGCAGGAGTGGTTTGCAGTGGAAGCACTATGCCACGTTCTTCTCAGCAAGAGAGGACCCAGACAGAACAGCTCGTAACAGCACAGAAAACCACAGCATCAGCTTGGATACCGATGTACTCTGATAGAGCCGTAACATCTTTCTCATAATAGAGTAAAACATTTTGCCTTAATTTGGCCAAAACACCAAAGCAAATTTCGGGTTACTCAGCTATAAAAAAACCCCCCATAATAGAACACAGATAAAGAAGCCCAGATGAATAATCTCCAAATGAATAATCCAGAATGGTCTCAACAGATGCTGAATTGATGTTCAGCCCATAATGTTCGGTACCTATCTCCCACCCACCATCTCTAAGGAAAGAATGCAGTCCTAGGCAACTGGGAAGATCACATCTGCATGGGACATTCATCAAAATTCCATCAAAATGCATGGCACACATTCCATAGTCGGATCGGGGAGGATGTTTCTTTAGCCATTATCCCCTTTAGGGTCATTATTTTACTCTTTCTGTATTCATAAATATTTAGTTATCTGTGTCATATCTCAAATGACATTATAGTTAAGATGATGTTCAAGAAGATATCAGTTTATATTACCTCAGGCAGCAGAAGGATAAGAACATGGTCACGCTCCAAAATGAGTAAACACCTTTATTGATCATTGAAGCCCCAGGTTAAAATTGGTTGCAACATTTCTTTTTCTGCTCTCATTTTGTAAGACAATACTGACTTAACTTTCTAAATCCAGGAAAAGGATGCAGCTGGCTCTTCAAATACAGGAATTCAACTTTGATGGAGGAACAGGGCTTAATCAGGTGCTCAGCTGCCCGCTGGGGTAAAACCACGACAGTACTACTGTCCATAACATTTTCTACAGGTAGCTTCCAGTCCAGCATGATGACTTAGCAGTTATATTTTAGAATTTGCTGTATGAATTTGTAAGTTTCAGGCATGCCTCTATTAGCACTTCAATACTTAACTTGCTGCTGAAGTTTTATGGACAAGATCAACTGCTTACAGAAAGACAGCAAACAACGTACAGTCATAATAATTCACTAGTGGAATTTGATTGCACTCTAAACTACAGAAATAACACATTATACAACAAAAAAGAAATCTTAAAAAGATGTGTATTTTTGAATTAGCAGAACTGCTTCTTCTCAGTTAACTAGGAAGGTAAAAATGCAAAAAAACATATGGGCACGTGTGCTTCAACTCAAGACTCAGGCCAGACATGAAAAATTTTAGGTCAAATATTCTAGCTGCTAGAATCATCATTTCAAAACATAAGATCTTAAGAGGGCATGACTTGGGGGAAAAAAAGCAATGGTCGCACACGTGGCATAAATGCTCACTTAGAATTTGTAATTTTTCATTCTGTTACAGTTTGTCAGAGTTTGATACTGCCAGTGTGGCATATGGCATCCAAGACAAAGCAGATGAAACAAGACACCACGCGCACTGGGAAAAATAACCAAGGAATAATAACCAAGAATGGAGATACATCCAAAGGAATAAGTGACATGGAAATACTTGTCAAAGAGAGGAAATTGCACTTGCAGAAGGAATACAAGATTCTCACGGAACATATGAACACATACATGGGAAGAGTGGAGCATTTCCTGCAGGAAAATAAATTCCTAGAAAAGGAAGCCCAACGGAATCGGGAAGAGAGCAACGCTTACCTCTCTTACATAACAAAACACAGCCAGAAGTGCCAGAATCTGGTAATAACATTAAATGACCAGAATCACACTGATCTGTCTCAAGTCTGGACACAGAAAGAGAAGCTAATCTCACAGTATACAGAAAAGGAGAAGGAGGTAAGGAGCTCTCTAATGAATATGGAGACAAAGTACTCTATTATGAACAAGGAGGTTGAAGACCTGCAGCCTTTCAAAGATCCATCTGTTCAGTTGGAACAGATGAAAAAGATTAAAGAGCTGGAGAAAGAATTGTTGGTCACAAAGATACAGCATTCAGATGAAATGCACAAAATCAAGAGCAGATTTCTGCAGGCCAAGGCCGACTGTGAGGTGGACTTTCATCAGAAGATCCAGGTTCTCACCAAGAGAGCAGAAGTAGCAGCAATACAATCTCTAATTCAGCATATCAAACAAGTAAAAGCAGAGAATTGGCATCTGCGCCAGGAATTGCTGAGACTCATCCAATACTCAAAAATCCTTAAAGAAACCAAAGTTCAACTGAGAGAGCAGCAGCAGCAGCTTCTTCGGGAGAACCAGTACACTCAGGACATGGCACACATGCGCCACTGGTTACACCAACACAAGGCACACAATGCAAATGGCAAAACCTACAGCTGTTACAGCACATTCAGATGTGGCCATTAACCTTAAAAAACACTTCACTCCTTATTCATGCCAATATATCAGTAGACGTAGCTGGACCGTCAGCTGTTGCAACTATTGGTTAGGTAAAAGAGTATACAGAAGTAAATGTTCTGTGTGTAGATAAAAGGATTGATTTACATAGTTCATGCTCAGCATGCAATCCAGACAACAGATCTTAAAAGTAACCTCAGCTTTAACTTTCATGACATCTGTATTAAGACATTTGAAACTGCAATCTCTTCATGTCCCAAAATAAACAATGACATTTTCTCTTTGAGATCAGACTTTGATGTTTCCATGGGCAAATTATATTCTGTCATGGTTTAGCCCCAGCCAGCAGCTAAGCACCACACAGCCGGTGCTCGCTCCTCCTTTGCATTTTGGTTACCTCATCAACAATGACACCAGAGGTCACCCTTACTCTAAGTTTTAACATTCAAAGAGAGATACTTTATACAGAAGTAGACCTTAGCTGACATTGGAAGAGACCTCAAAGGAGGCCTAGAGCAGCACCACTTTCAGTGGCTTTTGAGTATCTCCAAGGATGGAGGCTCCACAGCCTCTCCATGCAGCCTGTTTCAGTGTTTGACCACACTTGCAGTAAAAAAAATTTTTCGTAAACGGAATTTCAAACCCATCACAAATTTCAATTTCAGAACAGTCTGACTGTCTTCCTCTCTGCTCCGCCTGATATTTAAACACATTAGTAAGATCCCCTGAACCTTCTCCCAGCTAAATAATGCCAGCTCTTGGCCTCTTCCTGTATCACAGATGCTCCAAGCCTTAATCATCTTTGTGGCCCTTTGCTGGACACAATGCTGTATGTCCGTTTGTCTTATACTGGGGAGCCCAGAACCGTACAAGATACTCTAGGTGGGGTCTCTCAGTGCTGAGCAAAAGGGAAGGATCACCTCCCTCAAACAGCCAGCAAGGCTCCTCCTAGCACACCCCAGGACAATGTTTGCGGCCTTTGCTGCAAAAGCGCATTTGCTGGCTCATGGTCAACCTGGTGTTCACCAGGACCTCCAGGTCCTTTTCTGCCAACCTGTCTCCTAGCCTGATAGCTTCCAGCCTGTACTGCTACATGGGATTATTCCTCCCCAGGTGCAGGACTTGGCATTTTCCAGTGATGAAGTTCACAAGGATCCTATTGGCCCATTTCTCCAGCCTGACAGGGTTCCTCTGAATAGCAGCACGACCATCTGCTCTATGAACCACTCCTCCTTGTTTTGTATTATCTGCAAACTTGTGAAGGCTGCACTCCAGCCCACCATCCAGCTGATTAATGAAGAAGCTAAACAGTACTGGCACCTGTACTGACCCCTTGGGTACACCGCCAGTGACTGACCTCCATCTGGACTTCATGTCACTGATGGCAAACCCTTGGTTCCAGCAATTAAGCAAGTTTCTAGTCTGTCCAACCATGCACTTAAATAGTCCGTACTGAGTTTGTCAACAAGGATGTTATGGGAATCAGTGTCTGCAAGAGCATGCTGCTAGCAAGGAAAGATCTGCATTGTAGGCATTAGCAATAAGTTGATAGATTAAAGAAAAATAGGAAATTTTTTTAGTGCATTCGAACAATATCAGGTACTGAAAGCAACGTCTGGCATCCCCCGCTGACACTAGTTTACCAGATGAAGGCACAGGATGCTACGCTGGAGAAGTTTTACTTTGCTCACGCCACTCCTCCGCCACGCTCCTGGAAGTGGAGCGCGGCACCGCAATCACAGCCCGCCGCCCGAGGGGAGTCGTCCAGCAGCGGCGGCTCAAGGCTCCCTCAGCAGCCGCCCACGCAGCCAGCAAGCACGACCAAGCCCACAGCATCACCTCCAACCGCGCAGCAGAGCGCCCCGCCAGGAAAGAAGG